CAAGTGTTGACATATGGCACGACTCCAATGTCTTCATTCCCAACGCATATAACGTATAACTGACCGGAACTAAGACACCGCACAAGACAGTCACGTATACCTTCAGCCTCTGGACGAATCTCATTTGTGCGATATATGGGAAGTGATAGCAACCAATCCATTCCTCCGCCTTCACCTTCTTATGGATATCCCACTTATAAATGCCGGCGATTCCAGCGCTTCCCATAACCGGTCCCGTCGTCTCTTCCGGAGGTCTCTGTTTTGGTGATGCGTTTGTTGTTGTCGTCGATGTCTTTGGATCCGTTTTCAACGACTCCTTCGTCGACAGACATCTCATACAATGACTTCTTTGCCGCTCAACACATGTCAATGGTTTGAGTTTTGTGGTAATTATCCACGAATTGAGACATCGATTGCGAGGTTTGTATAAAATGTGTTTCGCCTGAAAGTGAGATCAGTTATGAGTGACAATGGATTCAAACAATTCATATCAATGTTTACTCTAATAATGCCTTCAATTAGACGACAATTATTTGCTTCAAAATAAATCAAACATTTGTTTAAAGTGTTTATTGACTGCATTTTGAACGCTATTTAGGGATACGTTTAGACATTGATTTCATATACGATATCAATATCTCATTCAATAGTAAAACAATTAATTTTGATAACAATTTAAACCCAAATGAAAGCATATGTATGTAAAACACATACAAATTGTGGTCAATATATTAAATTAATGACTGAATGAGTGGTCAATTGGACTGAATTTCTATGCATTTATATGAAAATCCCTCAATAAATGCAAATTTCATCAAAAGTTTTGTGCAAAATATGTTAAACTTTATGCAATACTTTTGATGTGAAGTTTTTGTGTGAAACAGTGAAAGCATTTTTGTGTTTTTTGTTTCACACAAAGTGTGACCAAAATGTTTAAATCGGTGCTAATTTTGTCGATAATCGATGTGTGGATTGTTTTAATTGTGTGCAAACATAAGCCCATCATATCATTCAATGTATACGAAACGGACCACACGTTTGGCCACTACTCGGCCCACCTCTCCATACCCTCCCTCGGCATTAGTGCCGACAGTAATGTCACTTTGAATTCAAGCCACGGTTTGGTCGATAATTACCGAATTGATGTCAAACTCGAAGAGCCGATCCCTTTCGAGGCGATGGCAGCCATGAATGTGACCGTCGATGAAGTGTCGACGAGTAAAGTGTTTGACATTGCGTTCAAAAGCAATACATTTTCCCATTTGAATGCTCGCAGCCGTACCTCAATTGCCAAACAGTCCGACGGCCGGACACTCGCGGTCACCAGCGCTACACTGGAGGACAGTCTCAACCAAATGAGCGCTACATATGAGTTCACTTTGATTAGAGGGACCACTTGTCCGACCATTACTTTATGGCATAACTTGACAACAATTCCCGATTCTTTACTGTACTTCTCGTCCAATATATCGGAAGTCTGTGACCCGACAACCGATTCATCGCAAATGGCTATCAATATAAGCCTTTCGTCAAATGTATGGCATTTAGCGAACGCACAGTTAAGACAGACATTCAATTTCGGTAAAAACGACGGCTCAGAGACCATGAATGCCAGCCATCCTCTGATGGATGTGTCAGTGATGGCCGAATGGGACAGATATGCGGATCTAATGCACGTCAAAAAGGCTACATTTGTCAGTAAAGTCACAGAATTTATTCCGAGTTTTCAAATTGAGTTCAAAAAATATAAAGAACTCCCGAATCAACTGTTGATTACAACTTTCAAAGAAGTGCCAAATATTTTAGATAACATCGTCGAAGAGGCCGTCAGGGATGAGCTCTGAGGCGCTCTTCATAAATAATACTTAATTTTTATACAATAACATTAAATTACATGCAATTGTTTGGTTTGGTTTATATAATAAAATATGAATTATTTTCAAAAGAAAAAACAATTTTAAATAATTATTAAGTATTGCAAAACTTTATAACGAAATTCTGATTAACTCTTAAATTAATAATCTTCATGAAAGACTTGGGAAGTACTGTATATAATATGGCATTTAATTATAAGTATAAATTAATTGTAGAATTATTTATTATATTTGTTATAATGGAATGAATTTATGTATAAAAAATCACGAATTGTTGCGCTTTTCGTTGAAGAAGATTATGATTTGGAAGGTATTTACGGTAATAACATATTTAATGGCACTTCTGGTGAAAATATATGATTAAAAGCTCTCTAATCTAATTAATGTTAAGACTTAATACATGCTATCGTTTTGAGCGTTAGTTTTATAATGACTTTTGATTAACAAATGGGAGATGAAGTGGATTCACGGTTCTCAGCGATTCCTGGATTGAAATAAAACAATTTCTTCCACCCTCTGTACGAATGCTCCATCACTTGCTTCTCTCCATCAGACGTCGACTTATTGTTAACCAAATGTGAAGTCTTTAAATATAATTAAACATTACATACAATTGATAACAAACATAATAGAGAGAGACTAACAGTTGTGAGAATAGCGTGTAATTCATAGGAATGCGATTGTTTCGCGAGTGACTGACAGAGCGCTGTCCCAAACCAGGAGCCCGTGTTCTCATTACGCCACGAGACGTAACCTAACCATTCAAATACAATCAATAAGTAAATAGTCTCTTAAAATTAGTATAAATGGTTATAAATACCGTCAATAGTGGAGTAACAGATCATCATATCTCCATTGAGAGGCACCGATCGGGTATCAAAACTGCGGGCATCGCTCACAGCGTCCTCGAAGTCATCCAAAACGAATTTTGGCCCCAAATCGTGAGTGTCTATACATTGCGTAACGATTGACAATTAAAATACATGCAAATAAATACATTTTAATAAATACTAACCGCCGCGACAACAGTTAAAGAAGAATAGTTTGGGTTTATTGATGAGATGCGGACTGTTCTCGTTGTTGAAGCGCTTTATTATGTCATTGAAGTGAAGGGACACTCCGTCCGCAGCTATTCGCCAAACCAATCATACCGTATACACCGAAATACAAGTACTTTTTAAGATAAGTTGTGTAAACATTTCAATAGACATACCGACGACATATCCAGAGTGTCCGTGAGATAACACCATAAGAATGAAAGCGTCGTGTTTTGAGAGCTCGAACCTCTTCGAGAAGTCCTTCAGCGCCGCTTCCATCTCATCCTTCGTCTGATTCTCTCTCACTTCGACATTGAAGTGCAATTGTGTGAACACATCGGTCATGCGTTTGGTCTCGGCCTCAGAGCCGGCGCGCTGTGGATAGCAATCGTTGAGGTATTTGAATGTATTGAAAATGAGACAATAGCCGCGCGGGTCGGCACGCATTCGGTAAATATTGGCGCCTTTCATCTCTTTCTTGCATTTCTTAACGCTTGTCAGCAAATCTGGGTTTTCAATGGAGCAGACAATAGTCGACGTCGGGCTGCGAACGTAGGGCACGGAATGGTCGCCGGAGTCCACACCACCCGACGGGAACACTTCGGCCGCCACTTCCGTGAGCGGCGAACTCGTGATATTCTCCATCACTTGCTGTTTACTAAAAGTACCCGTAAATATACTCGGCCTGAGTATACGCGCCGCCGGCACCTGATCCACACCGTAGAGCACTTCGGAGAATAGGTTGTAGGCCTCGGGTCCGCGTCGGCACAAGTCATTCAGGAAACGCCGTTTGCGTTCAATCGGGTCTTCAATTTTCTGTTGCGGCAAACAATTGGACACAAAAACAAAACTAATGAAACAATTTATTCAATGATGCAAAACGTTTGGTTCTCTCTCTCTCTCTCTCTCTCTCTCTCTCTCTCTCTCTCTCTAATCTATCGATACATTTGTGATAACATATTGTTGTGATTCTTATCAACAGATAATCCAAATATACATACAGTGTATATATCATAATATCAAACAAACAAATATATCATTCAATGAGTATTTGTTTAGTCATTGATTTATATCAATAAATTAATTTTAATGTTTATGACATTGATTTTGAAAAGCAATCAAACAAAACAATAACTAATATTAGAGTACTTGAAATGAAAGGTTTTATTTATATCACACGTACTTTTAAATCAAATAAAAGTAATTCATATCTGAATCGTTGATTAAGGCATTAACTGCTGAAACAATCAATAGATTGGTTAATAAATTAATGTCATTATTGTTAAGCAAAAAGAGAGACATAAGAGAGGTATATATTGTATGATAGGGTGAATGGCCTGACGTCTCAGGGATTGCATCAGATATAAGAAATTGACTGACGTTTACATACAGTATATGTCAACATATAATGTCAATAAACTCTTCGGGTATTCATCACATGTCTTATCTAACGGTTAACATAAGAGGGGGTTTACATATGGGAGGTGTGGGCCGGCAGTGGGGCTTAGGTTTAGGTGAAAGGGTTGTGATAATAGTAACCATTAATAACAATGACTACCAAAATTTGGGAATTTACCTAAAACATGGTTTATTGATTTAATTAAGCCAAAATATTTATATTGTTGTATTTTCTCGAAACTTTATTTATAGATCTACAAAACAGTGTAATTCATTTGTCTGTATCTAATGTGGTTCCGGAGTAAACCCCACCCGAAGTGGTATATCTCCGAAAACGCTTTGGCAATGCTATCCAATGGGAAGCAAAAAATCGGGGAAATAGATATGTTGAAATATTTTAATCTAAAACATCAGGATTTGTAATTTATGTCTAAATCCTATTTTCTATATCCAATCTTTGCGATAAATTACTTTTGGACACTTTATTCTTCCTTATTATAAAAGTGACCAGGTCAATGTGCCAAAAGGTTTTCCGAAGTTGCACTCTTCGGGTGAGGATTTCTCCGGGACGGGAATAGATACAGACAAATGAATTATACTGTTTTGTAGATCTA